CTTTCGAAAGAGCATCAAATTCTGAACAAGAAAATGTATTTTTCAACTTTCCAAAACCCTGCGAACACCCCCGAGAAAATCATGGAGGGTTTAAACTTTCAAGGTTTTAGGGCATATTTGCATTGCGATTTTCTCAACCAAATCAAATGCTAGTGCTTGGAAACTTTCAGATCACATAGAACACGCAATTCTGAACAACGTTGCCTCAAGAATCAACTCTCTAAGTCGTCACCACCATGTATACCATCACTTTCAAAATGGCGCCCGCTACAATCGTGACTTATTTAGAAAATTTCTGGAGATCTTTCGAACTGATTTTCCGGAAACCGGCTAAGAAACGCCTATGGACTCAAATGAATATCATATTCGGAATCAGCATTGTTGATTACCTTGACCTACTAAATTTTGTTAAAAAGATGAGGAGACATTTGGGAAAGGTCCCTCGTGAGGTAGAAACGTAAACTGACTGTTTTTTGAAAGGTTAGAAAAGACATGAATTACTTTGATTAAGACACTTGAGAGAGGCTAATCTAGGAGGTAAATAACTTCGATATTTTCAGCCATAAATAAGAACGAACTATGTTATATCTAATAATTTCTAGAAAAATCTCTTGAATACTTAGGATAATTTGTGAAACAGAATACCTTCACTCAATATTTTTCAATAATTATAGAGAACTGGTATAAATGGTGATGGAAAAAAAAAAAATTCTCAAAAATATACAGTTGAGGAAATTGAGAAGAAAACTTCTGTGAAGAAAAAAAATGGGAAGGATTTGAAAAAAGAGAAGGAAGATGATGACGAGAGAAAGAAAGAAATGGAAAAAATGAAGCTTGCTCAAGAAAAGCAACTACTTGCTTATATTCGGAACTGGTAGGCATTTGTTGAAGAACGCGGTGCACGGACATTAACCCTTTGAGGACGGGATTATTTTTTCAAAAAATAATCGCGCAATAGTAGCGACGCCCCTGTAACTCAAGAGCCATGATAGCTAAGTACTTCTATCTAAGAGCATCATTTTGGCTTCAAATTCGTATCAAAGACTCTACAGTGTCTGTAGATTATCTAAGAGCATCATTTTGGCTTCAAATTCGTATCAAAGACTCTACAGTGTCTGTAGATTATCTAGCCAAAGTATGAAGGTTAACTATTGTGTGGTTCTAGAAATTCATTAAGGACGAGTACTCACGATTGAAACATACGTAGAAGGGCGGCGGTGATGAACTAAGGGTCGCACTTTCTACTAGAATTTGCAATCCATGTACATGGTAATCATGAAAAAATAATCATGAAAGCCTATGGTTCGAAAAAACGTTGATGAAACTTTTGTAAGAAGGATTACACACTCACCTCTAACCTAGCCAGAAAATTTTCAAATGCAATTGTTTTGACTGAAAACCGAGTTTTAAGTATGCTGTTCGACCCAGTTTTGTTTGCTGATCTCCAAAATTAGATATACTTTCTTTCGATGAGCCCACAAAGCTGCCATTAACAATTCCGTCTCGCAATGTTATCGATCCATCCGATTTTTTAGATGACGATATTAGTGATAAAAATATTAAACCTCCAAAAGTAATATTACGTATTAATACATCATATATTGATAACGTAAGCTTCAACTGACCCGTCTGGGGCATAGAAAATTACATTTTCCAACATCGATCATATAATATAGTTAATACATGTAATCTAGACACCGGTCTTTTCCTTATCTATTATATATACAATTCCTCAGAAGTTGTTAAACGGTACATGTCAAACAATAGCAATATAGCAATATGTGAACGACTACAACGAACATTTAATATTATAAAAGAAAAAGGTTGGAATGAAGCCAGAATCCAATGGCTGCTGGAAGAAAAGTTACTAAAACCAAAGCAACAAACATTAAATATTTTTGGTAGTCTTGATGACGTTGTATTTAATTCAATTAAACATATCCAAAAATATACCTTTGAAACAGAATGTGTCCACAATGACTGTCCGAACAAAAACATAATTAGAGAGAATCAGATAGAAATTTCTCTTAAGTAAGCGGCAAACTACTATCGAAGCCAAAATACAAGAGCAGTGGTTATTTTTTTAATAACTCAGCATCAAATAAAGATAGAGACTTGTGGTTTTCACCATTCGATAGACAAAACTTGAGACTATCTTTCCACAAGCAAAACCGATTTTCGGAAAATTTCCGAAGCCGGTTTTCCAGCGAATCCTTGAGAAACTAGCTTAGTTTTTCCGAAATTCAAATAGAAATCTATTGATCTATGGGGCATATATAGACTGAAGTGTCCTCTACAAAACTGGATCTACGTGACATCTTGAAACCTATGGTTCGGGAGCTATGGACGTATTTCTTATAACCTTAGCACTCCTCTGCTATTAGGTTTGGGACTGTGAGAAATGAATGAAAACATAGGTTATCGGCTATGCTGAACCTCGTGGCAATGTTAGATTTCAGCAAAAAATGCAAGAATTGAGTAAAATCCTATAGTAGGTGAAATAACCCATTTTTGATTATTTACACCAAAAATTAAAAAATTCATAACTCAGCCAAAATGCATCCTGCCTACTTCAGAATGTCAGAAAAAACTTTGTTTTATCTAGAGCACCGTAACGCTCAATAAATGTTGAAAAAACCAACAGAAAATACGTTGGTTTCTAGAAAGGTTTCCCAGAAACCTCCGGAACTGGAAGAATATGATGTGATACTGAAAGAACCAATTTTACGTACAGAATCAGAATGAGCGGATTAAACAGAGTATTTTCTGACATTCTGAAGTAGGTAGGATGCATTTTGGCTGAGTTATGAACTTTTTAATTTTTGGTGTAAATAATCAAAAATGGGTTATTTCACTTAGTATAGGATTTTACTCAATTCTTGCATTTTTTCTGAAATCAATAACAGGCAGTCAATATTTTGACTTATATATGCTAGTCATCATCACATTGATAAATAAAAAACTTCTCTTTTTCATTTTCAAGAGAAAGGTCGTTGTAAAGGCATTCGTGCAGCAAACACGAATTTTATTTGTAATGATTATGATTGGGTGTGCAAACATGGTTATTATCCAGACGAAGATGGACTGACTACATTGTGGTAAAGAGTTAAAAAATCGACAACAACACTTTGTTTTCATGTATAATATCTATCTTAAATTTTCAGAACGCGGATCTACGTTTACTGATATATATCAATATTGTAATTCAACTTTTACATCGGCAACAAATATAGATGGTATTCAATGTAATGATACATGTAAACGAACAATGTGTTTGCCTGGCCATAAAGACGAAAATAATAAATGTGGTAAGATTTTTTATTCTTTTACTCAGATTAATCCAAGAAGGAGTCATTAGTTTGAAGAGAAACCTTCGAATTAGTCTCGATAAAGTGCGATAGTTTCAACGTCAGCGATAGCTATAAGTCGAAAATCAAAAGATAGTTTTTGCAAGAGGTATCTGCCATCAGATTTTTAGCACACCTTTTTCTGTCACATGGAATTTGTTGCATAGACCCGTGCACCCGGTCGGAAAATCGACGGCGTGTAACAAAAGTTGCCAACCAGCGACAACGGAGCCTCGTTAAAAGATTTTCCTCCTTCGGCGGAGGCTAAAAGATTATTTACAACTTTGGATCGACAGTGGAGAGGCACAACCAAACTTGAATAAGAAACTTAGTTTAAGCAAAGGTCCATTGTCAATTTCATCAAATTTTTTATTTTATTTTCAATCAAGATAGTAAGAGAAGCAAAAACTGCACTGTTTTTATTGCACTGTACTTATTTGTTATTAAAACAAGTTTGTACGGCGTGGGCCTCCAAAACACGTCTGTGGCGGCGCTAAAAATCTAAATTATTCATCGGCGGCGGCGGCACGGCGCACTGCTCTATTCGTACATCTTAGATTGAAACAATTTTATTTCGGATTCTGAAATCTGAAGTATAGATATTTCTAGATCTATGACAGAGACATTCAACATTTCTTCTCAGAAATATTGTCTAATTATCGACTTCCAATTGAAGGGATTCCAAGTTTCTGTTCATGTAGCTGCTTTTTTTCTCATTCACTTTCAGAATGATGGCTTTTTTTTATAGGAACAGTAGTGATAAAAATCATATCGTTTTCCGTCTATTTTGAGTCTTTAGTCATCATTAATACCAGATTCTTCATCATCATGGAAAACTACATCCAATGGCATATTGGATACACTTTTCGAATAAAAATATTTTTCAAAAATGATGACAGATTTCTGTGAGTCGTGGTTACTTGTTTATAACGATGGTATAGAAATCATGGTTTGAGAAGGACATAGACTTCAAAATTTATCCGGCGAGGTCTATGTACCTTGTTTTCACATATTCATTATTTTTTATCTGTTTTTAATGATAACTGTGCACATGATCCAACCTTCTGTAGCGCATTAGTAACGAGTTCAATATGTGTCAATAATAGATGTGGCTGTTATGAACGTGGTACCTATCAAAATGATAAACAATGTGGTATGTAATTATAGACTAATGCGTGATATATATGACTACAATCCACTTTTTGACTTTTTTCCTGTTTCAGCTAGAGCTGTTGGTTATCCATGTAAATCAAGCACAGACTGTGATGATAATAGTTCAGAATGTTTAAGGGGTATTTGTCATTGTAAGGATAAATTTAAAACAGTCTCACTAACAGATAGTGATGGAAGAAGAATTGAACGTTGTATCAATGGTACGTCGATGTTTATTAAATAGGACAACCTAGTAAATCATTTTGTTAATTTATCTCTAATAGGCGGACAGATGATACAGCTGACCTTCTGGATATTACTAGTGATGCCAGTTCAATGGTGTATGCGTTCCTAATTTTGACTCCGCTGTACATGTTTCGTCTGATACTTAGTATTTTAAAACGTGAGGATTATTCTTCAATAATGTTTTTTGAGTTTATGGGCCGGATTAAACATAAAAATTTACGAACCATTGCGGTTATCGTGTTAAGAATTTTTATAAAAGTTTTAATAAAAATAATAAGAAATTAAAAAGAATAAAACTAAGAGTTAAAATTACAATCAATATTTCGACCTATTAATACGGTCATTTTCAAGTTTCTCTTTGTACAGAATGTTAAAAATGAAAACAAATATAACTGACTATATATATATATATCTAGTGTCTTTCCTTTTTCAATTCAGGCACACACACTATCGTAGAAGACTAAATGGAGAATTCGGTTAAATGTAAATTCTATTTTTTATTTTCTTTCTTAACCAAAAAGCATATATAAGAGATGATGAAGAAGATTGTATAGATGTTGATAAGGGGATGAGAATTATACTATACCTACCATCAGAACCTTTCCTAGGAATTCGTTTTCTATCCCACAAACTTGATTTTACCCCATTTTTTTGCAATATAAACTGAGTTATTTTTATTGTATTTTTATTTTTTTATACAGCAGAGTTGCTCAACAGTTTCTTCAATTATAGTTTGTTCAAAGTTTGTGGCTGTTCGAAGTTTAGGTAGACAGCCTATTTGTGATCGGGTAACACAGCGTGACATTGTTACTCGCTGTGAAAAGCTACTAGTGTTACCCATAGAATTTTACATTTTGGACACTTTTCCACTTAGTAAGTGAGTATTATATTTTGTTGTCTTAAGAGATTGTGTTACTAGTGTAGGTTCAGAGATTTCGATTAATTTTGTTTGATCAGTTATATGTTCTTCTGTCCTTTTACAAAAATGTCGGTATGTTTTTCCAATATAAAATTCATGACATACGGGGCGGGTCGGTATATAGACAATCCCCGATTCGAGTGGACCAGGTACTTTGTCTTTTGTACTAAAGCATTTTCCTAACTTTTCAGTCTCAAACATGACCCTTACTTCTTCAAGAGGAAAATTATTTTGAACTGCTGTTGATATACGTTTCCCGTAGACTTTCGGACTTCTCGCATATATTCTTTTTGTTAGGTCATAAGACCTATGAGGTAATACAATATTATGGAATACTCCATGATGTAATATAGATAGTATATATATGAGTGATTCTGATACAAATGGTACCGTTCGAATGATGTGAATGGTCTCAAGCGTTTCTTTTCTTAGTCTGGATGAGTCACTTTCGGACTTCTCGCATATTTTCATCAATGTTAGGCTTATAATCGCTGTAAGTACGCCTTTTCTATGTTTAACTGTGAACGAATTATAATCAAAACATCTATATTTGCCCGTGATTTTGATGTTGTCTTTCGGGTAGTCCAAACATGTTTGGATTTTGTAAATGTTATTTTCTCTGTTATTTTATGTGAAGCAATATATTTTTTTTCTAGCTTCTTCGCTCTACTCAGTTACATCATTACCTTTCCACAGTGGGCAATTTTGCCTAGGCATGTGGACATTGGATTTTAAAGCGCTGGAAAGATCTCTCAGATATGTTTTTGTAGGTTTTCGAGTGTGCTCTTTCTAATGGAGTCACTGACAAAGTTCAAAA